CAAATGAGTTAACATATGGTAACTGGGGAGAATATGGAATTCAAAATTTTGTTTGTAAACTGAATAGTTTGAAAAGCGAGATATTTGAAACCCAAGATTTGACTATATCATATTTTTTCTTAATCTCAGAGCACACTTTTAAAATTAATTTTTACTTGTACAAAATAGAGGCGTATCTTACAATTAACAACATCTTACAGTAACAGTCCAAATCAACAATCAGCAAATAGAAATTGGTACATTATGCACCAATTAATGGATATCTTCAGTTATATTGCTCACATCAGTTTAAAAAAAAAGCAGTACAAAAATAATTTAATTTAAATATTAAAATAAACATAGTATTTAATGGTATTATATATGCAGAAGAGCATTGTCAAACATTGCCTAATATTTGTATTTTTTTTTTTTCAGACTTCTAACCAGAAGTCTGAAAAATTAAAAAACCTCAATAAAAATAGTTAATACAAAATTGTTCAATCAAAAAACTCTTAAAATTTGATTTCAAAATCACAGTACATCTTACAAGTTAGTAGTATATATCAATATAGTACTGTATTTGTGTGTGTGTGTTACAGCTAAAGCCTGGAATTGGATAAAGATAGAATTGAATTAACTGGCTAATGTTAACTTTATCCAAGTTGCAAGAGGATAATGCTAACATTATCCAAAAATGAATGAATAAAGAAAGAACAAAGCTTAAAATTTGGGCTTTATCCAGATAATGAGAAGTCTATCTACTATTGTTTGAATAGAGTTGAATACAGATGTTGTTTTTTTTATGAATGCAAGTATTTTGTTTTTTAGCTACAACATGGATAGTAGGAACAGAGCAACATTGCCATGTCTGTCAATATATCATGAGATTTCATGCCAATTTTTGATGTGGCAACAATTTTTTCAATCTGATAATTTTTATCTGTCTACAATAAACTAATGTCTTAAAGTCTTTTCGAACAGACAAAAGATTACATAAAAACATCCTGCAATACTACCTTTACTTGAGGCTGTGTCATAAAAAATTGAAAACATGTTAAAAACTGCAACATAGTGACTTTTTTTTCCAATTGTATTTATTACTATAATTAATCCCTGTTAATATGCCATTTAAAATCTATGTATATATTGGTTATCTGTAAATCAAAGTACTACTTTTTGTTACTTTACAGTTAAATCTGATGATACTTTTATGACATACAGTAGAGCGTCGTTTATCCAAATCAACTGAGAACTGGGGTTGTTTGGATAACTTATTTTTCGGATAACCGATTACATACGAAAAAATATATTAACCTATCCCGTGTTGAAATTTTTCTCCGATCGGATTCTCCGAAATCCGATGCGTGTCGCTTCACGTTGAATTTTCGTAGATGTTAAGCCTAACGTATACTTTTTAAAATAATAATCGTGGCTATTGTATCGTTAAAAATTATTTCTTTATTTTTTACAAACAAAATAAAAATATATAAACAAAAAAATTATACTTTAGAACAGGGTGTCCAACCTTTTTGTTCTTCTTAGCCACATTGAAAGAGGTCAGATTATAGTAATAAGTATTAAAACTTTATCACGAACAAGGATATTTTAAAAAATTACTTCTACAGACCCTTTCAATTTTTACTTAGAAATAAACAAATTCATTTATTATAAAGGAAACAAACAAAAATTTATTTGAAAAACACAAATATTTGNCATAACATCACCCAAATGTCCTGTCAATTGAAGTGAAGCTTCTGATTTTTCTTCATCAAATGGACGACAGAGTGCAGTTTCAATGTATAATGTGGAACCACCTTAGAAATATAAAATTTACTTTTTTAGATAAGAACAGCATAATAATAATAATAAAATCAGAATTATTAACTCATTACCCATAGCAGTCCAAGCTAAACCCATAACTACACCTGGTGGAGTGTTTTCATATAAACGATCATGAGTAAATAGTGGTTTTCCAACAAACTTTTGCAAAGTATCAACTGTAACTTCAATTTTCTCTGATTTTTCATTAACAATATTAAATGCACAAGATCTTAATATCTAAAAAAAATAATAATAATATTATTAAGCAATAGCAAATATAAGAAATTATTTAATACATTTAAAATAAATAATAATATAATTATGTTAAAAATACAGTATATGTTAAATTGAAAATATGATGATAAAATTTCAAAAAATTTATAAACACAAACAAAATAAAGTAGAGGATAGGAATTAGTAATATAGTTTATAATAAACATTTTTAAATCTTTCAGTCTAACATCAGCTTTTTCCGGATCAGATGATTTAAAACTGTTTCCAGTATATAAGTAAATAACTGATTCCTATATGTCTGTTCTGTTTTTTTTTCTTAATCATACAAAATCAATATTTCCTTCTTTAAATAATTAAAAATTTAAATAAATACCAGTACTATTGGAGTAGGCCCAAGATATAGCCAAAGATTGCAGCGCCACAGCACTAGCAAAAATTTAAATTTGCCGACTGGAATGCTTTCGGTTAACCGATGTTTCAGATAACCGGCTTTCGGATAAACGACGCCCTACTGTAATTGGCAACATTTATTTTTGTTTACCTGATTTTTTATGCAATAAAAATATTAAATTCTAGTTGATTTAAAAAAATAAAATTACTTCTTTATCCATCTAATTTTCATTGGAAAGATCACAGATTATCTGGCTAAAGTGGAATTTTAATTTGCTACTCATTTTAACCAAAATGGAGTTGATAAAATCCAGATTTCAAGTTTTGGTTTTGTTTCATCCATCAACATTTGGATAATGTCAGCTTTATCTGCATGTGATTTGGATAGAGTTCAAAATTAATAAATTGTTATTTGCTTTAACCAAAAGACTTAGATAAAGTGAGCATTAGCCAGTTAATCCTAGCTTTATCTGATTCACAGACTTTAGACATAACATATATATTTGCATCTGTAGATAAGTGCTTAGTGTAGTAATTTATTTAAAAAAAAAAAGAAGGTCAACACCTCTTATACCAAATTCATTAATTTCTTGCATAATTAAACTATAATAATTAATTTATATCAATAACATCTGTAATTAACTTCTTGTTTATGTAAAGCTTGAACTGGTATATGAAATAGTTTGATTATCACTTATTCATTTAAATTTTTGTTTCTATCCATGATTTAAAATATTTTAATTTTATAATATATTCATTTCTAATTCTTTACTTTTATCAAGAGCAATACAAAATTCATTATAAATTTTCAAAACAAATTCAAATAACCATATCCGAAACAAGACGTGAATGCAATTCAGCAAACAATGATGAATGCCTTAATAAATTTCGTTATCAGATTTAGGATGAGATTTTAATACTTCAAATCTTCTTAACTTTAAGATGCTTATGCAACTATTAAAATAGCTTAAAATTTTAATTTCCGAAGTTAATTATAAGAGAAATCAAAAGGTTACTAATTTTACTGAAATTTATATAAATTACAGTTACATTAAATCAAATATTCAAAATAAAATTTCTTTTCTAGAATATGTCTTAATCTCTAAAAAAGACTTATATAATAAAATCTGTTGCTCATACGATAAGTTATAATATATATAATAAAAATTTAATGTACAATAATATACATTTATTCTACTTACTCTCCATGAATTCTTTAGAAAACAATTTATATATTTAAAAAAGTATATTAAATAATATTTTTTTATATATGATAAATAATTATTACTGTAAAAAATTAACTGTAGATTTTAACATGAAAATTTAGATTAAATATTTTTGCATCAGCGAAAAAAGAAAAATACTAACAGCAATTGTTTTCTCCTTTATACCACCAACGGGTAAAACCTTTCCTGTCAGAGAGACTTCTCCAGTCATTGCTACATTTTTATTAATTGACTGATTCAAAGCAAGAGAAATAAGAGCAGTGACCATTGTGCACCCTGCACTTGGACCATCTTTAGGTACAGCTCCCTAAGAAAATTTATTGAATTTATAAATATTTAGTTTTTTAAAAGTTAAATTGTAAAAAAAATAATACTAGAAATTACTTCAGGAACATGCAAATGGATGTTTGCTTTTTGTAAAAAATTATTAGCTGGCTTTTCTTTTAATAAAAATGACTTTGCAAAAGAATATGCAATATTAGCACTTTCTTTCATAACATCACCCAAATGTCCTGTCAATTGAAGTGAAGCTTCTGATTTTTCTTCATCAAATGGACGACAGAGTGCAGTTTCAATGTATAATGTGGAACCACCTTAGAAATATAAAATTTACTTTTTTAGATAAGAACAGCATAATNAAAGCTTGAACTGGTATATGAAATAGTTTGATTATCACTTATTCATTTAAATTTTTGTTTCTATCCATGATTTAAAATATTTTAATTTTATAATATATTCATTTCTAATTCTTTACTTTTATCAAGAGCAATACAAAATTCATTATAAATTTTCAAAACAAATTCAAATAACCATATCCGAAACAAGACGTGAATGCAATTCAGCAAACAATGATGAATGCCTTAATAAATTTCGTTATCAGATTTAGGATGAGATTTTAATACTTCAAATCTTCTTAACTTTAAGATGCTTATGCAACTATTAAAATAGCTTAAAATTTTAATTTCCGAAGTTAATTATAAGAGAAATCAAAAGGTTACTAATTTTACTGAAATTTATATAAATTACAGTTACATTAAATCAAATATTCAAAATAAAATTTCTTTTCTAGAATATGTCTTAATCTCTAAAAAAGACTTATATAATAAAATCTGTTGCTCATACGATAAGTTATAATATATATAATAAAAATTTAATGTACAATAATATACATTTATTCTACTTACTCTCCATGAATTCTTTAGAAAACAATTTATATATTTAAAAAAGTATATTAAATAATATTTTTTTATATATGATAAATAATTATTACTGTAAAAAATTAACTGTAGATTTTAACATGAAAATTTAGATTAAATATTTTTGCATCAGCGAAAAAAGAAAAATACTAACAGCAATTGTTTTCTCCTTTATACCACCAACGGGTAAAACCTTTCCTGTCAGAGAGACTTCTCCAGTCATTGCTACATTTTTATTAATTGACTGATTCAAAGCAAGAGAAATAAGAGCAGTGACCATTGTGCACCCTGCACTTGGACCATCTTTAGGTACAGCTCCCTAAGAAAATTTATTGAATTTATAAATATTTAGTTTTTTAAAAGTTAAATTGTAAAAAAAATAATACTAGAAATTACTTCAGGAACATGCAAATGGATGTTTGCTTTTTGTAAAAAATTATTAGCTGGCTTTTCTTTTAATAAAAATGACTTTGCAAAAGAATATGCAATATTAGCACTTTCTTTCATAACATCACCCAAATGTCCTGTCAATTGAAGTGAAGCTTCTGATTTTTCTTCATCAAATGGACGACAGAGTGCAGTTTCAATGTATAATGTGGAACCACCTTAGAAATATAAAATTTACTTTTTTAGATAAGAACAGCATAATAATAATAATAAAATCAGAATTATTAACTCATTACCCATAGCAGTCCAAGCTAAACCCATAACTACACCTGGTGGAGTGTTTTCATATAAACGATCATGAGTAAATAGTGGTTTTCCAACAAACTTTTGCAAAGTATCAACTGTAACTTCAATTTTCTCTGATTTTTCATTAACAATATTAAATGCACAAGATCTTAATATCTAAAAAAAATAATAATAATATTATTAAGCAATAGCAAATATAAGAAATTATTTAATACATTTAAAATAAATAATAATATAATTATGTTAAAAATACAGTATATGTTAAATTGAAAATATGATGATAAAATTTCAAAAAATTTATAAACACAAACAAAATAAAGTAGAGGATAGGAATTAGTAATATAGTTTATAATAAACATTTTTAAATCTTTCAGTCTAACATCAGCTTTTTCCGGATCAGATGATTTAAAACTGTTTCCAGTATATAAGTAAATAACTGATTCCTATATGTCTGTTCTGTTTTTTTTTCTTAATCATACAAAATCAATATTTCCTTCTTTAAATAATTAAAAATTTAAATAAATACCAGTACTTTAAAATATAATTAAATAAATACAAAAGTATAGTGGTAAAACAGTTTATAAATGACATATTCTAAAATATATTATATATACTGCATATTGTATTATATATTTACAAGTATATTATAAACAATATTAATAAAATAATTTTAAATAAGAGCATTTTGTAAAAATCATTGTCAATTCTTTATTGAATCATCATCAAATTTTGCAATACATTTAAACTTTAGAACAAAATATTTTTCTATTGGATCAAACTTTACAATTTAAATATATTATAGAACTGAATCAATAATGGATTGAAAATAATTGTTACAAAAATGTTCTGATTATCTAAATCTGATTATATATTCCAGACATGGGCAACTGCGGCTCTTTTTGAGTACCTGCAGCTCTTGCTGAAGTGCTAATTTCTGCTTTTTATTATTATTTTAACAGTTTTATTTCCACAATTTTGTGAAAATATGTTTATTAAAAAATTCAATATTTGTTTTATATCATATTTATATTATATAATAAAATTGCGGTACAGAATAAAAAAAGTATAGAACTGTGGCTTCCATGCATTTTGCAAAACCTACATTTCAGTTCCCACTGAACTCCTGCTTGCCCACCCCTGATATATCAATGTTAGCTTTATAAATCTCCCCAATTTATAAAGCCAACATTGGGGGACACCTGCATCAACTTTAAAGATGGAGAAATGATTGTGCAGGCGTGGAGATACTTGTTTGAAGAATTCGAACTGGGACAAGCGGAGGGGTGAAACGCGATACGCGCAATTATTTACATCTCGGGTGTCATCCTTCCAATAGTCAAGAGGAGACACCATTTAGTCACCACCTGAAGCAGACCTCAATGGAGGTCAAAAACGTTTGTGAAGTTTGTTACAGAGACAACACTGTTATAAAAAGGTTTCATGGATTGTTATAAATTTAAAATTATATAACAAGAATATTCAGATACTAATTGTTTAAATTAATAGAAATATATTCAGTGTAAAACCTTGAAGAATATTTATGACAAGAACAAAGTGAAAATAAATAAATAATTTATTTATTTATTTATAATGAAAATAAAAAATACACCATCATCATCAATACAAATACAAAATGTTCTAAGGATAAAAATAAATTAAACCAGTTCAGAATTAGAAAAGAAATAAAAAAAAATTTACACAGTATTACATCCAATTAAACAGTATTGAACAATTCTCATAGTTTCTAATCATAATTCCAACATACTTAGGTATAAAATCATTTATTTCTATAATCTAGTCATTACAGTATATCATATTCTATTATAGAAATATCATGCCATTAATTCCATCACAATTATTAAATCTTTACACAGGATATACATCATTATATAAATAAATCTTTTTTATTTGTTCTTGTCAACTTTTTGTGATATTTTGTTATTCAATATTAGAATTGAAATTTACGTACTAAAATTCTAATAAATATAGAAAATTTAGAAAAAAAAATTACATAAGCTTACTTATCATTTCTTTGAGACTTTTATTTTATTCAAATTTCAAAAAATATTAATCCTACTTAAAAAAAATTCTTAAATAGAAATAATTATTTTTCTTTGCTTTTTCTTTGTTCTTCATTATATTAAGAATCTGAATTAAAGTGATTTCTTTTTTCTAAGAATTTTAAATAAATATAATTTAAAAATCTTCACACAAGCCTGAAATTTTTTTTTTAAATACAATTATGTGCTTACGTACATATCATCATAAATAAAAGAATTGTGACACCTTATTGCCATCTAAAATGAATGTGTTAGAAACAAACTGAATTAAGTAAGTTAATTGATGATATTATGACCTGTTAAATAGAAATTACTGATTAATTTGTCAATCATTTCATGTTATATAGATTATCAATCTTCCGAACATTTACACACATTAATATGCTTGAAATGAACTTGTATCAACTCTCGGAGATTTACATAAAAATATCTGGAAAGCATTTTCTTATTTTATGATCTTTTATTTTTAATATTAAAAGAACCTGTCCAAAAAGACAAGTTCTTTTAGTATTAAAAATTTAAAAAAAAGTACAAAAGTTTAGAGCAGTGATGATAATATTGTGATATATATAGTATAGAATAAAATATTTTAAGTGAAAAAAATAAACTGAATATATAATTATAGTGATAATTCAGGTAATAAGATTATAATTAAAAATTAAAATCATATTGTAATAATTAAGTTAAAGTACTAATCATATATAATAGTGTGAAGAAACAATAAAATAAATTCAACAGAAACATCTTAATTTAGTCATATTACTATCTATCTAGATAAATAAAACTGTAAATGTTCGTTTGTTCAAAATCTTAAATCTCCGAAAGTTCTTAACTGATTGCTTTGAAATTTTCACACAACATTGCATTCAAATACGCACGTGTTTTTATATTATATAGATGTTGGAATTCCCCCCCACAAGGAGAGAGACAAAATTAAGGCTTACAGTGAAGAACAGGTCTTCTATTATACTGTTTTAGATGTGGTTTTTTGCATTTTTGATTGCATTTTAATAGGGTACATCAAGAGAATGTACACTAAAAAGAAATTTTTCGAATTCTCCCCTGCGGGGAGTATTATACATTTATAATAGATACATTTCGAGCCACAGTAATGCATGGCCAGGTACAGCTAGTATATTATAAAAATGATACAAAGAAATGTACTGTTAAATAATTTATCCTCTTTTTAAAATTAAAATACTACACTACCAATCAATTACTTAAAGAATTCATGCACACACTATCATTTAATTTTAGAATCAAAATTATTTTTAATTCATAGTTCCTGTAAATCACTTTTTTTTTTTAAATTAACAAGGAAGTTTATAATTAGCAATATACACATACATTGTTTGAGAAATTTTAGACTTATTTAAATTTAATAAGAAATTATTTAAAATTTCTTAATTATTAATATGCCACCAGATGGCAACATACATATATTCCAATTTCCAATAAAAAAAAATTTTCAATACAATACTATACGCCTATATTTAATATAATCAGACTGTAATATTGTAACATATGAAATTAAACACAAGATTTATCTAAATCAAATATTTAATTAACTTTATTGCATCTCAATAATATGAACTTAATAACTGGTATGAGTATGTACAGTACAACTAAAATACTCCTCAAACCTTTTAACCAGAGTGCTTCTATTTTTAGAATCGCAAACGTTTTTGTCGTCCCTCCTGGGCTCTTCTTCAGGCTTTAACGAATAACCCGTTACTGTTCAAACAGTAACAGGTTATTCATTACTGTTTGAACATTTGTTTCTATAATCTAGTCATTACAGTATATCATATTCTATTATAGAAATATCACGCCATTAATTCCATCACAATTATTAAATCTTTACACAGGATATATGTCATTATATAAATAAATCTTTTTTATTTGTTCTTGTCAACTTTTTGTGATATTTTGTTATTCAATATTAGAATTGAAATTTACGTACTAAAATTCTAATAAATATAGAAAATTTAGAAAAAAAAATTACATAAGCTTACTTATCATTTCTTTGAGACTTTTATTTTATTCAAATTTCAAAAAATGTTAATCCTACTTAAGAAAAAATTCTTAACGAATAAGCCGTTACTGTTCAAACAGTAACGGCTTATTCGTTAATATAATAATATAAATTTGATGGCTCGAAAATTTTATCCACAGTGTATGTGTACTTTTGACAATTTGAAATACAAAGTTTTATTGATTTCCTCTAAAACTGGCTTATACAAAGTTATACAAAGTTATTCAACAAAAGCTGAAATAAATGAATGAGTTATGCCAAGTGTTGATTATTACGCTGCATTGCGGTTTTGAAAATCAAAAACAAAGTTACACAATTTTCTGGTTTCATTGTCAATATGTGTAATAAAACTGAGTAAATTTAAAAAACTTAGCACCATTTTCATACAACATAAAATAATAAATTGATAATTAATTTTAATATCATGTAAGGAATATTGAAATGTAACTTAGTTCAGAAAACAATCATTTGTATAATAACAGAACTGTGGATTAACTTATAACACGGAATGAAAAGTCTATTTATTTGACTTATAAACTGAAATAAATCAATCCATTTGGTATTACATTAGTTTACTATTTTCAACTACAAGCAATTATTATGGATAAACCAAGAATGCCAAATCATCAAAATCATTTGAAACTATTACATTTATACAGGTAAAAAATACACAATTAAATTAAATTTGTTTACTTTTTTGAATTAAAACATCACAACTAAAATTATCATTAATAATATAAAAATTATTTTCATTCAATATAATCAAATGCAATCCTACAATAATACTGTATATTAATCAAATCCTTGCCATAGTCAAGGACATCAAGAGTTTGTCTGGGCCCCAAGGACAGAGTAGGTTGTTTTTACCATATTCTTTTTCAACAAATAAAATGTAGAGTATGTTTCTTTATTAATAAAAGCAGTATTGAAGCATTTATTTTTTTGTTAGTAAAAATTACATTAATTTATGAGGGTACAAACCATTATGGACCCCTAAATTTTAAAAACATTACTTTACATCTTTGTGTTAACATTTGTCTCATAAATTAACAATAAATTAA